GGGTTCCAGAGTAAGTGAGATGTGAAATTAAATTTCCTCCTTAAAAGCTGAACTACAATGCTTGACCTTTAGAAATTTGCCTAGTTTTCTAATCAAAATGGGAGTAATATATAAAAATAATGTACGTAATAACCTAACACTGAACTTGGCATTTATAAGCTCTCAATACATGTTAGAGTTTTTAATTAACTATTTTTGTCAAAAATTCCATTCTTGTTTCTGATCCACATCAGTTAGAAATTGTAAAATAACTCATTATATAGGATTCTCTTACATCAATGTGCTTCATTTAAAAAATTTTTTTTCTTGAATTTTTAAAAACCTTTTGTTCATTTATTATTAAGTTCAAATAAGCATTTTATGGAAGCTACCTCATCCTGCTTTTTCTTAAAAATAAAACTCGATGAATTTAACTAAGTGAGCATTATGTCTGACCTTGCATCATTCAATTAATTTCTTTTTAAAAATCCAATTATAAAGATGAGGCTCAATATGATAATATATTATTATTCAAAGACATAAATCAGACCAATTAAAAAAATCCAAAATAGTTGTCCATTGTCCTGATGCTTGTGGAATTTCATTTTAAGTAATATTGATTAACAAACTCAAATGTGTGTTAGTGTGTGCACTTGACTAATTCTCAACAGGGAATAATTTGAATTAGTTAGGAAATCCTCCAACATATTTCATATTTGCGGGTTCCTTTTTACCCTGATGTTCTACAGTGATTTTATTGTATACAGATAGTACCTCTGTTGCATCATGCACAGTGTTTATAATCTCCCACTAAATGAGGTGGTCTAGAAGCCAGAGAGAAGAGCAGTGACACATACCTTCTGCTGCTCAGAAAGCCACGCATCATTTAGTGAGGAGGCCCGGTCAGTGTCCTACAGAGGCCTGCTGTCTCTGGATAATAGAAGGAGAAATCTAAAGACATAAATCCAGTACAAGAACAAACAGTGTCTTCACAGACTGTCCTGTGAGGACTCAGAGTGAGACAACAGTGGAAAAAGTAGATGGCTCATCAATGTGTCATTTAATGTTTGGTCAGGAAATTCTCACACTTGGGCTATTTTGAAGTTTATCTCAACACACACCCTCAGAACATAAAAGATATTGAACTTTTATCAAAAGGACAAAGTAGATCTTTAGATATGTTGTATAGATTTTCCATTTTCAAGTGTTTTGAGAAATTGTTCTCATGTTTTATAGGATTTGGGGGATCAAAGACTTGCCCCACCATACAGTTAAATGTTTCTGTTTCATCACAAACTATTAAGGCTTACGCCATTTTAACACTATCTTAGATTCAAAGTCCTATTTTCAGACTAGCTTGGAAAATCTTGGCATTGCATACTTCTTTCTATATTTCCTTATTATACTATTTCTATTATAATGGAAAAATCATAGTATCATTGTCAACAAGAATTTAATCTTATTTGTTGACTATTATTCTCAGAGCTTACTACCTTTGCAGCCTTATTGTATCTGGCACAAAGACCACTATTTTTGAACTTATCTACTTGAGTTTTTTAATTTCTTGAATTCAATCTTATTTTTCATACGTTATAGAATCATCATCTATCCCCTGATGAAACTAAGTATCTCTGTTGTTGTTGTTGTTATGTACCATTGAGTCGGACCTTATTGTGATATCTCTAGGAAAGATCAAACGTTAAACATTATCATCTTCTATATCATGCCAGAGATTATAGTATCAAATAACTCCAAACAGAAAAACAAACTCCTTGCCATTGAGTCAATTCCGACTCACTGCGACCCTCATAAGGTTTCCAGGGCTGTAAATTTTTACGGAAGCAGGCTGCTCCTTCCCTCTTTTACAGAGCAGCTGGTGAGTTTGAACCACTGACCTTTTGGTTAGCAGCCAATGCCTTAAACACTACACCACCAAAGTTCCTTATTAAAAACTACTCATTGTAATTTAATATATATTCTATTATTCATTCTCTAGCAAATAACATGATATAACATAACAATAATGACTAGGACCTCTGGTAGCATAGTGCCTAAGGCACTTGACTGCTAACCAGAAGGCTGGCAGTTCAAACCCACCAGCCACTGCTTGGAAGGAAGGTTAGGCAATCCTACTTCTGTAGTGATACTGCCTCGGAAACCCAAGGAGGGGTCGCTATGAGTCGGGTCGACTTGATGGCACATAACAACAGCAACAACAATAATAATTAATGTTCTGTATTTTAATAGAGATATTTGGTTGAAAGTAACAGAAACAAAAGTCAAACTACTTTGTAGAGTGAGAAAAAGTAATTTTTTTAATCTCTTCTAAATAAAACAAGAGGAAAGCAGGAAAAAGAGGATTTTAAAGCACAAGTTGAAATGACACATTACCATCTGTGAAAAAGAAGTTTAAAATTAAAATGATCCAATTCATATAAAATGGAATTCTGTTACTCGTTTCTCATTTTATATCAAGAAAAGCAACTGCCTTGGAGTTAATTCAGGCTCATAGTTAGCAATTCTAAGGAAATTCAATTCCATAAAGGCTGTAGGTTATTCAAACCCAAAATTTAGGCTTTGTTAAAATTACAAAAATGGTATTTAAATCCGTATTTTCCATCTCACTGAAGAGTGTTTTTGGAATTTGGATTGGCATTGCATTATATCTGTAGGTCACTGTGGGTAATAATGCCATTTTCACGATGTTGTCCTCCTATTCATGGCATGTTATATTCTTACGTTTATGTTGGTCTCATTTGCTTGACATGTTTTTTTTTTTTTTTTCTTTTTCCTTTGATTTTTACATTACTTTTATCTCTGTGTCTAAGGTATATATTTTATAGATCTCATATTGATGTATCATGTTTTCTTATCCATTCTGCTACTCTTTGTCTCTTGACTGGTGCATTTAACCCATTTACATTCATGTAATTATTGATAAGTATGAATTTACTACTGTCACTTTGCTGCTGTGTGTGTGTGTGTGTGCTTGTGTGTGTGTAGTGTTGATGGTTTCTTTGTTCCATATATTTTTCTGTACTTTTTTTTTTTTTTCCTTTATCTATTTTCTTATCATTTCTTTCGTTGCTATTGTTTTCAGTGTTTCCTAAACCTCTATGTAAGGAGGTCTGGTGGTTTAGTGAGTAAGGCATTTGGCTACTAACTAGAAGGTTGGCAGTTCAAACCTACCAGCCACTCTATGGAAGAAAGATGAGGCAATCTACTTCCCTATAAAGATGTACATCCTTAAAAACTCAATGGGGGTCTCTGACTCAGAATCGACTCAATGGCGTTGGGTTTGGTTTTTGGGTTTTAAGTCTTTATGATTTCCTTCTTTTTATTTTGGTGAGTTATAGTTGTTGTTAGGTGCCATTGGGTCACCTCCAACTCATAGCAACCCTATGAACACTGCCCAGTCCTGTGCCAGATTCACTATCCTTGTTATAGGTGAACCCATTGTTGCAGTCACTGTGTCAATTCATCTTGTTGAGGGCTTTCCTCTTTTTTGTTGACCCTCCACTTTACCAAGCATGATAACCTTTTCCAGGGAATTGTCCCTTCTGACAACATGACCAAAGTAGATGAGATGAAGTCTGGCCATTTTTGCTTCCAAGGAGCATTCCAGCTGTACTTCTTCCAGGACAGATTTGTTAGTTCTTCTGGCAGCCCATGGTACTCTCAGTATTCTTTGCCCACACCACAACTCAAAAGCATCAATTCTTCTTCGGTCTTCCTTGTTCATTGTCCATCTCTCACATGCATAAGAGGCTATTGACAATACCATGGCTTGGGTTAGGTGCACCTTAGTCTTCAAAGAGACATCTTTGTTCTTGATCACTTGCAAGAGGTCTTTTGCAACAGATTTTCCCAATGCAATATGTCATCTGATGTCTTG